TTATAGAACCCTCCCAAAGCCCTTGGGCTTCGCCGGTAGTACTAGTACCGAAGCACGACGGCACCACGCGCTTCTGTGTAGACTATCGGAGGCTCAACGATCGCACGATAACTGATTCCTACCCTATGCCCAGAATAGACGAGTTACTAGACCGCATGGCGGGGGGGAATTACTTGACTACCCTGGACTTGTGCAAGGGGTATTGGCAAATCCCCTTGGAGCGTGCGGCTATACCGAAGTCAGCCTTCGTCACCCCATTTGGGCTATACCAGTTTAAGGTTATGCCCTTTGGGATGAAGAATGCTCCAGCTACGTTTCAGAGGATGGCCGACAGGCTCCTAGTGGGGTTCCAGGACTTTGCATGTGCGTACTTGGACGATATTGCTGTCTACAGCGTCACGTGGGGGTCACTCAAACGAATTCACATGGCAGGGCTCACATTGAAACCTGACAAATGCCATGTAGGTATGGCCGAGGTACAGTATCTCGGCCACAGGGTAGGTTCAGGGTAGGTTCAGGTAGGCAGCGGCCAGAGCCTGCCAAAGTAGAAACCATAGCGAATTGGCCTCAACCCCGTACCAAAACCCAGGTATTAGCCTTTTAGGAACAGCCGGCTATTATAGGAAATTTGTCCCAGAGTATAGTGCCTTGGCCAAACCTCTCACCGACCTTACAAAAAAGGCCCTCCCGAAACAAGTAACCTGGACCCCAGAGTGCGCGGAGGCTTTCCAGAAACTTAAAGCGTAAGTGAAGCTCCTGTGTTGGGAGCACCCGACCACACTAAACAATTTCTTGTCCACACAGATGCCTCCATGTTTGGGCTGGGAGCCGTGTTAAGCCAAGTGGGGGACGACAGCATGGAACACCCGGTGGCCTACCTCAGCCGTAAACTTTTGCCCAGAGAGGTCAGCTATGCCACCGTGGAGAAAGAGTGCCTAGCCTTAATGTGGGCACTCAAGAAGCTACAACCTTATCTGTACGGCTGGCCATTTACTCTCATGACTGATCATAATCCCTTTGTGTGTCTAAACAGGGTGGCTGGTGACAACCCCAGGCTATTACGGTGGAGCCTAACCCTTCAGCCCTACAACTTTACAATGCAATAAAAGTAACAAAACGGTAATGCGGACGGTCTGTCCTGACAGACCGAACTGGACGCTTAAAGGACAATTCTCAGACATCCCCAAGCCAACCCGACAGGGTCTAGGCGGGTTTGCCGACCTATGGACTTATAGGGGAGCAGTGTGAAGAAATCCCCTTTTGTTGTATTATGTATACCCATTGCATTCCCTTTTGTTACACTATTTCTGCCCATTGCATTCGGTAGATGTAACCACCGAACAAAGACCACCCCTCTGGCTCGTTAAACATCAAAGTCTGGTTCAATTGCTACCTCTGTCTGTGCGGCCAGCGTTTGTACAGTCGAACGCCACGTGGCAGAGAAAACCGCGGCCATCTTTGTTCATGCGAACAAAGGCAGCGGGACCTGGTAGTCGAGTGTATGGAACTGAAAACGGACACACGACTTCACCGAACACCGGTCCCAGAGAGACGAACGCTGGAACTCTATTTACCGAATAGCTAGAAGAGCGCTATTCGGTATTTTGGTGTATTCGACAGAGGGACACGAGCACTGCTAGGAGCCAGAGGGATCCATTAGGTACTTTGTTCGTTTTTCTGCTATTTCTAAAGTGACTGGCAAAACCCACCAAATTCATGGAACTGTTTTGGGCATACAGCCCAGGGTGAGCCGGTCACAGAAAACATCCATAGTTTTTGCGAACCCCTGAACCGATGTGGGTGAAATTCGTATATGTTGGTCACCCAGATCAGGACTATCAAGGGACATATTATTTGTGGGGATACCCCAAGTATAAAGGGGTGTTCCAGTTATTGGGGAAAAAAGTGATTTTTCAGCCTGGAGATAATTAAGTTACTATCTTATCAGACTTAATTATCTCCAGGGCTAGGGGAGGGAACTGTGGGTGTGTGTTAAAGTTTTACTGTATATGATTGGTGAATATTTGTCCCTCCCTGAGGGTTGTCCCCTTGCATTGGGACTTGCATAAAAGCTGTGTGCACCCATTAAAAGTTAGTTCATCTTGTACCCTTCTTCTCGACTTCGGCTGATGTTTGGGGATTTGTGTGTTTCACTAAGGGAATCATGTTGTGAAGCTATTGGGATTACTATATGGTTAGTCTATTCTATCTACCGAACGGAGGGCTATATCACTAAGGCTCTGGCGGTTCGGGAGGAAACTACCGAATGAGGTTTAAATATACTTGGTTTCCTTACAATACTTCAACAGAAAAAATATTCCAATTTGGCTATGCTTTTAGTTTGGTTACCCTGTTCTTAAATTTGAAATTCACTTTGAATTCAACCCTGGTTTTAACCCTGGTAAAGTCTGTGGAAGTATCTATTTATAATGTCAGTCCAAAGATGGCATTTTGATAAGCATTCATTTAAAAAGTGAGCAAAGGATTCAGCAGTAGTACGCTTTAATTAATGGTTTGATTGTTTTACTATCACATGTTCAATAAATATAAAATATAATATACCTTGTAAAAGAGTTATAAATACATGTACTTTGCACAATATGCTTTTTTTTTTTTATAAATATCAAGTGCTTAAATCCTATACAGATCCATACAAACTAAGTTAAAGAGACACTACAGTCACCAGAACAACTACAGCTTAATTTAGTTGTTCTGGTGTAATGTAATATAATGTAAACACTGCCTTTTCAGAGTGTCTACATTACTGCCTAGTAACACCTCTAGTAGCTGTCACTCAGACCGCCACTAGAGGTGCTCTCTGTTTTGTGCAGCACTGGCTTTCAGTGTATCCACACTCTACATGGACTTGCTGAACATTCCTCATAGAGATTTACTGATTCAATGCATATGTCTGAGGAAATGCTGATTGGCACAGCACAGCATTTGCACTGGATTGGATAAGCGAGGCAGGACCAGTCGCATCAAGATCAGCCTGGTGCTAGAAAAAAAGGTGAGCAAATTCACCTTTTCAATGTAAAGAGATTGGGCCATTGGCCTAAATAGTTATTTTACTACTATATTGCCAGGAATACATGTCTGTAGTGTTCCTGTAAGGTATTATATATGTTTCCGTAACATAAAAGGAAGAAGAATGTGTCAGAAGGGAGTAGAATTTGACGTGTGATACCCGTCTGGTTGACATTGTAAAGCAAAAATGTGGCATATAGTAGTACTGTGGAAGAGTAGGTAAGTAAGTGAAGTATAATGTGAAAGCACTATTGTATGGAGAGAGAAGTTACAGAGGAATGTGATAAGCTTTCCTCAAGAGTGTTCTAAAGATGTCTTTGTGGTGAATGTGGTGTTATGCACATGTCAAACTGTTTTGGATTGATCTGACAAAAGGGTGTAGGGTTAAACAAGTATAGTCTGACACAGAAAAATCTAACTTGCAGAAAAAATGCTGGCTCTAGATCAACAGATACATAGTATAAACAAAACTGCTACAGAACCTTACTCAATGTATCAAAATACATAGTGAGTATACTGCACATAATCCAATATGAAAAACTCTCAATAATTCTCAAACAAGTCACAATCATAGCATGCAGCACTGTTTAGTAGATAAAATACAATTATACTTCAGTGGAGAAAAGACAATTTTATTGAGGACACAGGGGATCATATTATGCTTAATCTCTTTCTTTATTCCTCAGCAGCAAAGAAAGGATATTGTAGATATTCAAAGAAAAAAAAACAATAACAAAAACAGCATTTACCCTAAAGAGTTAACCACATATAGCATGTTATCCAATTAGAGTGTTCCTAGCACAATAATGCCCCATGTGACCTTAAGCCACTCCTTTTCTTTGCTGCTGCCTCCTCAGCTAAGTACAAATTTTCATACCTGTGTTAATTTGGGAAATTGTTTATTTTCTGTATTCTGTTTGGGTCATTATTGCCTTCCTTTCTCACTTTTCATTTTGTATTGTTGCTTTTTTCCCTCTCCCTCCCAGCAACTTTCCTCTCTCACCCCTGCCCCCTTCCCTCAGTCATCTGGTTGGTTTGTTTATTTTCCGACCGTTCCTGTTGCTGCCTGGTATCCTCAGATCTGAGGCTCCTTCATCCCACCGGGTACCGTTCTTTCCCGCAGTCCCAGCGGATCGCGCCTTTGTCCGCGGCTGGCACCGCTCATGCATGCGCACATCGCAAGTGCGCATCGTGGTGGCCATCTTTGGGATGGCGGTTTTGCCTCGCTTTTTATTACGTGGCCAATACCGCTTGTTTGGGGACGGGATTAAGCTGTTTGGATGGCTGGGTTGCTGGGCAGCTTACCGGTGCTCCCCAGGAGTTTACTCCAGAGGGAACACTCGGTAAGTTTGCCTTGTCTTTACACTGTGCCTTCATATTGGTATATAAATCTGTGCCTGGTATACTAACCTTTCCCACTGCACTTTCCAGTCCTGTTACTGGATAGGATCTCCCTATTCTGCAGCCCTTGTAGTGCATGGCCCTCCTGTCACACTTGTGGAAAGTAATTACTGTGCCATGCAGTCAGGTAAAGAGGTAGAAGCTTCCAGCTCTTCCACTAGTGCCACCAAAACTCCGACACCCTTAACGGGGTCAAGGCCACCCACAGTAGATGAAGCGTTACAGGAGCAAATGAACTCTGAGGAGTTTCATTCACTTCTGGACGCTACTATGGCGAAGTCTGTGATGCAAGCCATCTTTACCGCTATGGGGGCCATGTCAGATAATCTGTCCCAGTCGATCACCTATGCACTGATAACCTCCCACCTACTACCAGCTGTCATTGCTAACCCCCCAGAGACTAAACCGGTGGCTCCTAGATGGCATAAATCCACCTTCAAAAACTTACAGACAGAGAGAGTATGTCCTGTCACAGAGGATGTAGTTGCACCACAACTAAGAGACCCCATCGAGCAAAATCAGTGAGGAACTGGAAGAGGACAAAAGCTCTAATTGAATCTTCCGAATCTGATATGGAACAAGAGAAGGCACTGAGCGAGTCCGATGAGGAGGACTCTTACAACTCCAATGTTTATTTTCCGGAGCATGGAGAGGACCTCAAAGATGGAGTAGATGGCTCCACCCTGTTTGACCCTCAGGGTGAACCGCTCTTTGACCCTGATGCCTTACAATCTTGTCAGTCTCGGGGATCCAGAGGTTTTTCCTATAGCCGACGGCCTTACTGTAAGTTTAATTCCATATCACCTGTCTTCAATAACTATGGTGGGAGGCAGACTAATTTTGTCAAAGCATGGCACATGCTCACTTCAGATGCTTGGATCCTCCACACTGTCCAGGGTTATTCTATAGATTTCGTGCAACACCCTGTTCATACGAAGTTCCCCAACCGCATTGTGTTCTCCACTCATAATCGGTATTAGGTGACACAGGAAATACAGTCCTTAGCCTTCAAGGGTGCAATTTCAGCAATTCACCCTCACACAACAGGTTTCCTAAGAAACCTCTTCCTAGTCCCCAAGAAAGGTGGAGGCATTCATCCGGTCATCAACTTACGACCCCTAAACGCTTTTAGGGGTCACATACCACCTCTTTATACCACCTCTTCAAGATGGAAGGTATACACTCGCTTCAGGACCTTCTGCTTTCAGGGGACTGGATGGTCAAGCTCGACCTGAAGGACGCATACCTCACCATTCCAATGACCGAAGTATTGCCAACAATTCCTACAATTCCAGTGGGAGGAGACCATGTTGCGATTCAAATGCCTTCCGTTTGGTTTCTCGTCGGCACCTTGGTGCTTCACAAAGCTCATGAAACCAGTGGTTGTGCTTCTACACAGCAAAGGAGTTCGACTCATAATATACTTGGACGATATCCTCATAATGGCGCAGGACCCTCACCTTCTCCACGAACACTTGTCTTGGACGAGGATTATGCTGGACAATCTTGGTTTTCTTCACCCGTGGCCGAATACTTGCCATTACGCCTTTCCTCCTTTCTCTCTCAACACGCGGACTCTGCTACATCTCAGGCGTTACCGGACCTCCTTGATCCTCATATCTCCTTTCTGGATGACTCAACCATGGTACCCTACACTCATGGAAATGTCCATAGACTTCCTGAGGTTACTACTGGTAGTCACTGACCTCGTATTGGACCCCAGCAGGAACTCACATCCCCTCCTACTCCAGGGACATCTTAAGCTAGTGGCCTGGATCCTCCACAAGCAACTCTGGACCTCCTGGTGGGGGCTTGGGCTCCAGGAACAAGGAAATCATACCTACATGCCTGGAACTCATGGAATAGTTGGTGCATGGAACAACACATGGATCCCATATCTGCACCTGAGAGTCATGTTTTGAGGTTCCTTATTTCACTTTTCGACCATGGCCGGTAACTGTAGAAACCGGATGATGTGCCTGTCAAATTACATTTATACAGATCAGCTATCTCGGCAGGTCACCAAGGCTGGAATGGACTTCAAGCAGGTAAACATCCATAGGTATGTTGACTCCTGCGTGGGATCAGATTTGCACCCCCACCATGTCCTAAATATTCCACCTTATGGGATGTTGGCCTCATTCTCTGACTTTTTGAAAATTGGCCAAAGAATGGGGACCTTTCGATCAAGCAACTCACTTCTAAACTGGTTATGCTGTTTTGTCTAATCTCCTGTAAACGTGTCTCAGATGTCCGGGCACTGGACCTTACAGCACGATCATTTACACCAGAGGGCGTTTCCTTCGATATATCGATACGTACGAAGACATCCATTACATCGTTTTTTTTACCCAGCCTTTCCACATAATGTTAACCTGTGTCCAGTGGCTTGTCTCAAGGAATATGAAGCAAGGACATCTTCAGTTCGTGATCCCAGGTATCCGGATTTGTTTTTAGCAATTTGACAGGCACATCATCCGGTTTCTACAGTTACCATATCTCGTTGGGTTAAATGGATCATGGCCTCAGATGACATCGACACTTCCACGTATGGAGCACATTCTGCGAGGGGTGCTATGGCATAAAAAGCTTTCTCCTTGGGATGCAGACTGGAAGACCTGCTCCATGCAGCTGATTGGTCCCACTAATCTACGTTTCAGGAATTTTATTTTAGCCCAGATTCTCCCAACGGTGGTTACACAGCTTTGAACCAGCATAATATGAGCCTACGTGTCCTTTTAATAAAATTACCAGATTTTACTAATTTCATGACGTAAAGTCGTGATTTTATTAAGGACACGAAGGCGAATATTATCCCACCCGATTCAGGTTTGTTGAGCCCTCCCTGTAGGCATATTGTCAGGTAATGGGTGTGCAGCCCTCATGGTAATATTGTTTGTTCACCTGGTTGACTATTACTGGTTAGACATATTGTTTGGTTAATGATACACTGTGGATGTGGAATTAATATCCAGGAACATATTTTACCACTTATTTCTCTTTGTCTTACAGCCTCCTCATTGGGTTTCACACTGGTCCATGTCACTCCATACCAAGTTCCATCAGATGATTGCCAGCTTCTTCGGAGTTCCGTTTGCTGTATTTTCCTGGAGTCGCTGCTCTGCACATCTAATGATGTTCTTCAGTCTGTTGGGATGTTCATCAGCACCATCAAGAAAGAGGAGTGGCTTAAGGTCACATGGGGGCATTATAGTGCTAGGAACACTCTCACTGGATAACATGTTATATGTGGTTAACCCTTTAGGGTAACTGTTTTTTTGTTATTGTTTTTTTCTTTGAATATCTACAATATCCTTTCTTTGCTGCTGGGGAATAAAAAAAGAAATTAAGCATAATACTTGCATCTGTGTCCTTAATAAAATCATGACTTTGTCATGAAATTAGTAAAATGTACTCCTGTCTTCTCCTATGGGCTAATTGCAGTGTCCTCAATCAGGGTTAGTCACTAAAGCGATGATTTAAAGTAAATGCAAAGTGAATTTCAAATGTATGGTCAAAATAGCCAAACAGGAAAAAGTCAGCTTTTCTTTCAGTACAGCCACTTAATTTTGAAATCATAAATAGACCTGGCTATGCTTTTTATTTGAAGTATGGCATGATATATTTTTTGGCTGAATTGATTTAGAGAAGAAGCTTTTACGATAACCTTTCTTCTGGAATGCCATATACATCAAGATGAAGAGTAACTTTTTAATAAATGTAGACATTTGTGATATACAAGTATGTCCTCTGTCACACCTGTCCAGCCTGTTGTTCATCTTATTATGTATCAAACTAGTGTACTGAGCTTTCTCAGACTGAGGATGTGGTAACTTTATTGGTGTACAGCAGCTGTGCCTAGTAGCACATGATGGCTAGTCTTATGGAGAAGAGACCAGGAAGCCCAAATAATTATAGAGGCCCCTACATCCCAACAAACCAAGCCTCCTCGCAGATCCCACATACAATTCGGAGTCAGCAAGTATAAGGACCCACAATATGTTTAGTACAGCAGGTGCAAGCACTGAGGTGCATGCATACATAGGGTGGCTCATTAGACTGGGGTTTATGCAGATATGGAACTTGCTAGGCAGATCAGTCACCAGCACAAGAGCAACCTAAAAACAATAGTGAAAATTCTAGCGGCAATGAGTTTGGTCATCTGAAAAACACAGGGGAGAAGAGAAATAAAAATCACCTATTGATTGCTTGGCCCTTAAATATGGCAACAACTGGAAAATAGTTTGACCTTTGGTAATTTCTAATAAACTCTTCAATTCATTTTTGTATTCCATAAGCCAGCTGGTATATTACCAATTGGTAAAAATTGCATATTTTGGTTTAGAAAATGTGAAGAATGTTTTCAAAATTATACTCAAAGCGGTTAGGGAAGTTCAAGCAAACAGAACTACCCTGCCTAGTATGTGTGTTACATTTCAATACAGATTGCTTACTGTATGGACACTATTTACAAACTATTTGCATAGTAAAAATGTGTGGCTGGAGGAATGTAACACATATCTTGTTAACAACTAGACATGTGCACTAGATTTTAAATGAATGCAAATTCCTTTGAATTTCATGCAATTCAGTCATTCATCTGAAACATGAAGTAAGGCATTGCAATATGAACGAAGTTCACATGCAACCTCATCTACTACCTATGGGTGGGGGCTAAAGGGAGAAAGGTTATTCTGTTATTATAATGAGAGCCACCACCCACTGGCTATTATTGGGGGATTCAAGGTGACATTAGATCGCCCTCTGTTATTGTAACTAGAATCCTCACCAGCTGCTAATTGGTGGGGACTATGGAAGGAAATTAGGTCCCCCCTCCCATTATAAGTCCACACTTGTCATTAATGGGTGGGGGCTCAGGAAGGGCCACACCATGGTGACTGGGATACCTGTGTTAGGTAAACTCTTTATAGCATTAACAATTTAAAAGTAGCAATAGCTGTCCAGTATTTTATGTATGCTGTTTAGTAAACATGCCCCTGTCAGCAACATAGCAGGCAGGGGCAAGAGGGATGTTGTAAACCTCTATTATTATTATATGGTGGTCACATTGACCCAAATAAGATTTTATTTGTTAATTTAGCCCCTGCTGCTTTCATTTTCTAAATCTTCACTTGCTGGGAGTGAGAGGTTAAAAACAAAACTGGTTTGTCCAAATGTCTTTGGAACAAAAAATATGCAAACGAAATTCAGATGAACCAAAACAAAACATGGATGTAATTCTGTTCGGGTGCATACATTTGTGCATAAGTCTAGTAGCTACACACTATCTTGAACATCTGTAGACTTCAAATTAAACTTAATCATATTTAGTCACACTGACAAGAAAGAAAAAGAGGGCGAAAAAATGGCTCTAAAGTAATCTATGTAAAAGATTCTGAAATAGACATTTAGTGTTATAATCTCAGTCCTCAATAACCATATAAATTCCTAAGTTCTTGGTTAATATTTATAGGTAAAAATTACTAAAAAAAATAAATAAATAGCTATCAGAGAGCATGCATTGTAGATATCTCATGAACTAAATCTAGCTTATGATATATCTATAATGCAATCCTCAAATATGACTAGAATGCAACATGCAATATCATGCTGGAAATAGTCAGGATAAAAAATGTCTATCAATTGGATAGGTAGAGGCCTCTGCTAAGAGGGGAGAGATTTTTATAAACAAGAGATTTTTTATAAACAATGACTCACTAAAATTGGACACCCTCAACATTAAAAAGTTACAATAGTAAATAGAATCCACCCTACATACTATACACCACAATAACTTCAACACTGACTAACCAAATAGAATAGGAGATTATTGACCTATAAGCTCGGATACCAATGAATAGCCTCCGGCAGCCTACCATACCAGTACCAAACAATCACAGCTACAGCAAGAACCAAGAAATAATTGTGGAGAGTGCAGTAAAGTGAAGAAAACAAACTAAAAATAGAAACATCTGAGAAGTACTTCGGTGCTTACATAGCGACTTAGATTCCCACATAGATTCCCCTGTTTAATTTAAACCAAGGTAAAAGACACTTTCAATAAATAGTCAGGACTACTCAGAGTGTTGTTTTCCTATTAAAAAGGAAGTAAACTCCCACGAATCCCTTGAGCCAATAAAAGTTCCCATAGTGGACTTACAGATCATGAATAGATACCTCCCCTGGGGGTTTGCACCTCTTGAGTAGAGATCAACCTATCCATATGTAACCAGACATTAAAAAGTCATCCCTCAGTATTTAGTAACGTGTAATCACTGCAGAAGGACCCACAAATGGGCAGCATAAACAATTGTGTAATCATATGTAATTGCTGCAGAAGAACCCACAAATGGGCAATCTAAGCAAAACTACCTCCATTCTAAGCAGGTCCACCTATTTGGGGCAGTGTGAGTGATGTGATCGCATCGTTGGCCCACCCTTTTCACCTGTTGGGACTGAGACTGGGTGCTTACATTTGATAAGAAAGTATTTCTGCCATGAGGTTACATGGCTTAGGAGGCAGGTTGATGATGCAGCATTCTGCAAAATAAAATATTTTGGGGCGGGGGCAAAAACTATAAAGATTTGAACATACAAAAAACCCAGGATGTTAATGAGGCCAAAACTTATCTAATGGAATAAAGTTGTACTGGTGTCTGGTGTGTTCATTTGAGTAACCTACATAAAGCAAATAATATTAAATGTAACATAGAAATATCAAACAATGTTTATTACCTTCCTCTAAAGGCATAATTGACATTGTGCAAATAGTTTGTAAATTGTGTACATAGAAGTAAGTAATCCTTATTGAAGCTAGGCATGAGGGTTCTGTTTGCTTTAACATCCTCAACTGTTAACCCCTTAAGGACACAGCTTTAGGAAATAATAGGGAATCATGACAGAATATTTCCATCATGTGTCCTTAAGGGGTTAAGCTCAGGATACATCTAGTGAAATCCAACTGACAATACCATCAGACTATATTTGGTCCAGTTGTTTTTCTCACTAGGTTTACAAAATTAGATTATGATAGATGATTAATAAGTGTTATGGTATTGTAATACACTAAATGAAAGTTTTGATAAACTAATTAATCATATCTAGTACAACACTAAAACAAGGGAATACATTTGTATTTTGAATCAATCATCTGGATGATTTACTATTAGTAAAAGCCTCAGTAAATGCTTTAATCACTTTCAGACAGTAGCTAGTGTTTCAAATTAACTCAGATATATTTGTGCTGCTATTCAGGGATATAATGAAATAAATGTAGCAACCTCGGGAATAATCTCCTTTATTGCAACAAAGCACAGATCACATCCTGCTTTAAAGGATATTCATATTGATAGTTTACCATCCAAACCTATACTAAAATTGCCACATTCTTCATAAATAAATAACTGTGGTGCATAAGCAAATTGTGCAATTAAAGCCAGTCTCAGTAGCTACTAAAGTGATGTGATATCTAAGCAAAGCGTAGAATTCATTTAACTGCTTTGTACTAGAATGCCATTTCAATAACTATAACTGTGGTATATTAAAAGAATTAAACTGGCTAACACTCTAATGCGTATGTTTCTCTCACTTATCTTGCCTAGTTGATAAAAACAAAGTTCCTGCTATCACTGGACAGCATGCAAAACTCTGCTCTCCACAGCACTTGTAAGATAAGGTTGGTTTACAACATGTTAGAACAACAAATCATTGTGACAAAGTATGCTAGAAACATTTATTAACTATTACCTTAGTGTAACACCACATAGGAGAAACCTCTCTGTGACGAAAGTAACCTTGTGACTGGCTTTTGGAGGGGCCTGTTTGCCAGCCTCCTACCCTGTGATTATGGCCCTGTGACAAGCTAAACCTCAGGACTATGGGCCCTGCAATATGCCTTGCCCAATGCAATTTAAAAGGCTCTGTTCATGTGAAGTATGTACTTTTGTACTCCAGACAGAGAGACCGACCGTTAGCCCTATTTCTCTGGAATTGTTTTAGGCATGGGACCATGTGCACGGTGGGTCAATAAGAGACTTCCAGGAATTTCCTGAACCCCTGCTCTGATCTGGGTGATTTTTGGATATGTTGTTCACTCAGATCAGGGCTATCAAGGGATATGTTGTGTTTTGGGATTTTGTAAAATATGTTTTTTTTTATGCTTGGGGATAATTACGTTAGCCCCTCTCCTCAGGCTGCGCCCGGGCGGTGCGGTCCGCCCTCATGGACGCACCGCCCGGGCAAAGCTGCAGCCGCCTGAGGTTCTCTACAGAGCGCTCGGGCGGCTGCAGCATGGGGGGGGGGCGGCTGGGCTGGTCATGGCACCCCCCACCCTGTGGCACCCCCTTAGTACGCCACTGGCGTGGCCGAGCCCAGTATAGTCCGCGGGTACAGGGAGCTTTTGTTTCCTGTACCCGGCCGGACTAACAGGAAGTGCACACTCTGCTCTCTATACCCGTCGGACCATCATGCTGCAGGGCTCGGCCACGCTACAGGGAGGGAGTGACAGGAGGGAGCACTGAGCGCTCCCTCCTGTCAGTCCCTTTCCTCAGGCTGCGCCCGGCGGTGCGGTCCGCCCTCATGGACGCACCGCCCGGGCAAAGCTGCAGCCGCCTGAGGCTCTCTACAGAGCGCTCGGGTGGCTGCAGCATGGGGGGGCCAGAGGGGCTGGTCATGGCACCCACCACCCTGGTGGCACCCGGGGCGGACCGCCCCCTCCGCCCCCCCCCTTAGTACGCCACTGCTGTGGATCACTAACCCATACATAAACCCACACTGACTAGCAGATGCCCTGCACAATTCCTGCCTACTGACTCACTCCTGAAGTACTTTGCCAACAGACATGCCAATGTACCACCTGTTATTTTAATCCACAGAAGAATGGTGTGATGATGCAACCCACAACTTAATTTATCTACAAAACTACACTGACACACAAATTCCTAAGGTGCACCCAAACTCCTAAATTACGTCAGCTTTCTGAAGTGCTGTAAGTATTAAGAGCATGCTCCTTTGGCTTATTTTATAAAATTGCATCAGCACTAAAAAAGAGGCATCAGCACTTTGATAAGTCTATTGGGCATACCTTCTGGCTGTCAAGATGTATTACCTCCTTTACTGAAGTGAGCTCTTCCCAAACAGAACGAAATAACTAGCCAACTCACTAGCAGAACTGAAAAAAATAAAACTATAAAGTTCAGCTAAATTTGTGAAAGCAGATGAACAGACAACAATACAACATAGCAGGGCACCGGGTTCTGGATAAACTAGGACATTTGAAATGTGGAGGGGAGAAGGAACAAACTCCACAGTCAAAATCCAGACAGTGGATACACACGTTAGACAATATCTTCATTGCCTAGCAATAAATCTGATACTACATGTTCTCCAGCAGTGTTCCACAATAGATTTTAATTAATATAGTGTAATTTAGCCATGAACTGTTATACATACTCTAGTTGGAAAGTAGCTATTATTTTCTTATAACCTGCGCTATAAGAATAAAATCTACTTTCTATTGTGAACAAATAGAATAAAAAATTTAATGCAAGGAATTTCATTTTAAAATCTGTCTTTTTAACATGTCAGTTATGAATGTGTTCTTTTCATTTTCAATTTGTTTTATTCCTCAATGTCTATGAGAAACATTGTTTAGTAACACAATTACCTGCTGCATGATTAAATATTTACATTTTTATAAAAGAAAAATCTAATTTGTGTCATTTTAATTTGCCTTTTATAAATCTAAGTATGTTCGAAATAATATACTTTAAAACTTTATCTAGTAACACCTAGTAATTTCTTGGTGGATATGAATTGCATTGTAGGAACACATTAAATTGACTCCGCATAGTTAATCTTCACATTTCTAATTAAGCTTTTATATAAGAGAAATTGTTTTATTTATTTCATTCTCAACAGCTTATTTATGGCAGATAATACCTTGCTTTAATTTTGATTGCTCCAAATGTAAAGCAGTACATGTGCTGCCTACTCCTCATTCTATAAGTCACATTTAAAGAGGCACTGCAGGATGATAAAATGGAAAGAAAAACATCTCCAGTCCTTCTGATATCATGATATATGTACTAATGTGCAGAATGTCTATCCCACAGTGAAACATGATAAAGAAAGAACTTAAAACAAACCTATTGCATTTGATGCATTAACTATATTTTATATTATTATGTTAATATTTATATAGCGCTCAAAAATTCCATAGGGCTTTACAGTGGGTGGATGAACTAACGTATTTATAACCAGACAAGTTGGACACACAGGAATAGAGGGGTTGAGGGCCCTGTTCAATGAGCTTACATGCTAGAGGGAGTGGGGTAAAGTGACACAAAAGGTAAGGATAGTATTAGACTAATAACTTTTGTGAGAGAGGAATCAGTCGGGAGCTATTAACAGTTTAATTGATACGCTTTTATGAAGTGGGTTTTTAATGATTTTTTGAAGGAGTGGAGACTGGGTGAGCATCTAACGGAGGAGGGAAGCGAGTTCAACAGAAACGGTGCAGCCCTCGAGAATATTGAAGGAGAACATCAGAGGTAGAAGTACAGACAGAAGATAGACATAAGTCTTCGGCAGAGCGTAAGGGACTAGACGGGACATAGTTGTGTATTAGGGAGGATAGATAGGTGGGAGCAGCATTATGTAGAGACTTGGAAGCAAGAACAAGAATTTTAAATTAAGCCCTATATCTTACAGGAAGCCAATGTGGGGACTGACAGAAGAGTGAGGCATGGGAGATGCGGGCAGACAGGAAGATGAGCATCACATTCATTATGGACTGTAATGGCTCACGTTTAGAGCACGTAAGACCACTGAGAAGCGGAATACAGCAGTTGAGGCAACAAAGCACCTTAGTTGCATCTGGCATTAACAAGGGTCGCATGCGCGCAATGTTTTTGAGATGGAAGCGGCAGGATTTGGCAGTAGACTAAACATGAGGTGTGAAGGAGAGGTTGGAGTCAAACAGAACACCAGGGCAGCGAGCCTGCATGGTGGAGCTGATGGTAGCACCGTTGACTTGGAGGGAGACAGACACAGGAGTAGCAACACTTGAGGGAAGAAAGATCAGAATTTCAGTTTTGGTCAAGCTGAGTTTAAGGAAGTGAGCAGCCATCCAGTTAGAAATAGCAGAGAGGCAGTCAGAGACACTAGACAAGAGGGATGAGGAGAGATCAGGAAATGGCAGATTTTGCATGTCATCCACTTAGAAACGATATTGGAAGCCAAAGGACCTAATGAGTTTACCAAGGGATGCAGTATAGATGGAGAACAGTAGGGGACCAATGACTGAACCTTGGGGGACACCAACAGAGAGGAGTTGGGGAGAAGAAGCAGAGCTGTTATGGGCAAATACAAATATGACAAGTTTCGGAATTAAATATTGCATTCCTCAAACTGTGTACTTTGTCTTTAAGAGATATTGCAAACTGACAAGGTTTTAGAAATGTAACATATTGTTTTTCATACATGTTTCTTTAAGCAATAACCTCTTACTTACCTTCAGTGCATAATAAGTTTATGCCATTTTGTCCCAGATTAAATACAATAACAATACTGCATAAACAAGCTTCAAGGCTATGCTACGACTCTTTTAGTACATAATATACTGCGGTAACCCTAAGTAGATAAAGATGTTCAGACTTTAAGATGCCATCATGTACTAAGTCAGGACATTTTCCATGACGTGTTATGGCCTTGTATTTTTGCTAAGTTAAGGGAGGTCCTAAAATGGATAAAGTAAAAGAAGTGTTACTTTTCATATATGAACTACGGTAACCCTAAAATGAAGACACTTAAAGTATAAATAGGTGTACTTTTAAATATTAAGGCACAGACAGAGGAGAGATTTGGAGACAGACGCTGCTCAATCTTAAAATGACAGAGAGGTTGACATGATGACATGTTCAGGAGGGTATGTTAATCTATTATTGATATTTGCAAGCATTTAGTTTAATCTTATAAACTCTGCTATGAATTATTGAAATGGATTTTATATGTCTATATTTATATTTTTATATAATAAATATCTAAAAAAACTAAACTTTTTGTGTTTCCAAGACAATCCTTATTTTATATTGTATTCTCAATTATTTATAGAAACATAGAATGTGACGGCAGATAAGAACCATTTGGCCCATCTAGTCTGCCCAATTTTCTAAATACTTTCATTAGTCCCTGGCCTTATCCAGGGCCGGTGCAAGGATTTTTGCCGCCCTAGGCAAAAGAAAGATTTGCCCCCGAACATCACAATGCCCCACCCATATGAACTAATGCCAGTGCTGCACACAGTGTGTGTTTACATTAAAAAGCCTGCAGGGACAAACTATAGACACCAGAACAACTTTATTAAGCTGCAGTGGTTCTGGGGACTATAGTGTCCATTTAATGTGAGGTAAATTAGAGATTAGTGTCACTAATAATATACTAGATTGCCTACTTACAATCAGATGAGGATGGTGATGGGCTCTGGCTGCAGTCTGGCTCCACTGGTCTGGTGTAGAACAGGATCTCTGGAGGCTGTTTGTAACTGTGGTCACAAAATTCAATGTTCTGGGAGAACGGGAAGCAGCTCCATTTTTGGGGGCCTCTTACATAGCTCAAGGTCTGGGCCCCAGGGCCTGACGGTGAGTATGCCCATAAAGCCCACCCATAAGGCCACCTACATGTTCCACCCATGAACTCACAGGGAGTAGAGTGTGTAGGGGATGTGTTATGTGTTACTGTAGAGGATCTAATGTGTGTGCTTATGGAATGTAGTGTATAGGGATACCAGTTTGTGTAGGTGATGCAGTGTTGTTTGTGTAAGGGATAGAAAGCAGTGAGTGTTTGTGTATAAGGGATGTATTGTGTGTTTCTTGTTGTGTGTAAGGGATGCATTGTGTGAATCTGTGTTTGTATGCATAAGGGATGCAAAGTGTGTTTCTGTGTATGTAAGGGATGCAGTGCGTGTCTGTAAGGGGTGTGTTGAGTGTGTGTAAGAGATGCATTGTGTTTCTGTGTGTGTGTGTGTAAGAGAAACAGTGTGTGTTTGCATGTGTGTGTAAGGGATGCATTGTGTTTGTTCTGTGTATATGTGCAAAGGATGCATTGTCTTTATGTGTAAGGGTTGCATTGTGTGTTTCTCTGTAAGGGAAGCATGTTGTGTTTCTGTGTGTATAGGGATGCATAGTGTGTGTGTGTGTGCGTGTGGTGTGAAAGAGCTCCCTGTCTCCCTGTCCTATAGAGCTCTCCCTTCCATTTCTTAGAGATCTCCCCTGCCCCTTAGTGGTCTCTCCTCTCCCCCCCACCTCCCTTAGTGGTCTCCTTTTCTCCCCGACTTTCCATTAGTGGTCTCTCCTCTCCCCCCACCCTCCCCTAGTGGTCTATCCTCAACCCCCCTCCCTTAGCGGTCTCTCCACTGCCCCCTCCCTCCTTTAGTGGTCTCTCCCTCCCCTACTTTCTCATCTCCCACCCCTCGTGTTCTCCTCTTCTTCTCCCCCGGTGTTTTTCTCTTATTCCCCCCCCTCCCTGTGTTCTCCGCTTCTTCTCTCCCCTGTAATCTTGTCTTCTTCTCCCCTCCCCCCCGTAATCGCGTCTTCTCCCCGTAATCTTCTCTTCTTCTCCCCCCATAATCTTCTCTTCTTCTCC